GCGACACGCAGGTAAGCGCGCGGCGGGGAGCGGGGCCCGGCCCGGGGATTAGCGCGGCTCAGGGCGGGCTCCGGCCCCCGCGGCCCCTCTCCCGGCTGCCGCCCCTGCAGAGCCGCTGCGGCTGCTTGGCTGAAGCCGCCGCCCCCGGAGCAGGCGGCAGGGCCCGGGCTTGGGGCACCTCGGAGAAGGGAGCCCGCTGCGCGCACCACACAGGCCACACCAGGGTGCTCCTGGAGGGGGTCTGTTAAAGCCCCATTTTCCTTCTACTCCACCGGGTGGTGCTTGGGCAGCTCTGGGACCTCAGTGTTTGCCAAGACGAGATGTGTCTTCTGCAAAAAGGACACTTTTACAGTGGCCCCTGTCTTGGCACACGCTCCTGCAACTGCAGGCAAGTCAGTGGGGCTGTGCCCGGGCTGAACTTGGTCCCGAGAGACAGACAGTTCCTGATCCTCTTCCTAGCTTGAGACCTGGTTCAGCTCCCACTGAAATCAGCGGGAGTTTTTTCTCTTCGCGGGTGGGAACTGGAGCAAGCCCTTGCTGAGCGACTTTGCCGCCACTGTGAAACGTTTAGGAGTTGAGTTTCACATGGAAATTGTTTATCGCCTCCTGGTGCCGAGAGAGAAGGCAGCTCATCCCTCGGCCCTGACGGTAAGCCTGTGAGGCGGCACTCTGCCTGGCCTGTCATCCTGAACCGAGCCTGTGCTCCCAGGTCCTGATGTGGTGGAGAAGAGCCGAGTAGCAGATCATTACTGCCCAGTTAGGGGCAGTGGGCACTAAAGGGGGGCTCCCTCCATAGCTTACTATGCTTTCTTAATACAGAATGATTTCAACTGGGACTTGGACCCTCATTTAAAACATCCCACTCCTTCACCAGTTTCAGTGTTCAAATGCCCTAAGAACAGTGGTGCTCATGGTTTTGCAGGCCAGATGCATGGTGCGGGGCTAGCCTGTGAGCTGGCCCAGGCCCCATGACACCCCTGCATGAATGGGATTGGGCTCTGGGGCCCTCCAGTGCCCTGCACAGATCCATGGGAAGCCCTGTGGACTAGATGGCACAGTTGGCACAGGCCCAGGGGTCAGATTAGGGGTTGAACACCCCTGCCCTAGAAAGCTGGTATTGCTCACTTACAGGCAGCTTTGATGGGGTGCTTTTCTGAGTAGTTACAACATAACTAGGTCTTAAGAATGTAGTTGCATGAACATACTTAGAGAAGATCTATGGAGAAATTACATCCAGAGTAATTATAGCTGCTCTGCTTTAGTTACTTACAGCTGGAGATAATCTTATTCACTTCCTGACCTAGACTGTTTTGTAGTGTTCCTGTGCCCTGTTAGGGCCCGACCCTGAAATCTTCGCTCAGTGTAAACTCTCAGCTGAATCAACCAGTTTAAATCATAAAACATGAGAATAAAGTTTAAAGCATAAAACAAGAGAACATGGGAATAGAACTAGAGAATGCTGATTTTACTGCATTTCTTTGATCCAGCTTCACATTTTGCATGATTAGCAACACCTTGCCCCACAGGTCCTACTGACGTCTCATGGAGTGAGATGCTACTCGATATGAAAAAGGACATTGGTTTCTGCTTCTCTCGTTCAGTGGACAAGCAGTTCATTTTAGCACATCTAAAATTAATACTAATGGATTGTGTGTGGTGTGGAAGAAATCAAAGAAAATGTAGACAAATTTACTTTCCCCTGGTATTATATGTCTATCCTGAACTATTTCTAGAGTTGCAAGCAATCTCTTTGAACACTGAGAACATTTTCAAGCAGAAAGCAAGGACCTGAAGAAGAATGTTCTGCATTTGAAAGCTTGTCTAAGGCTATCTCAACGATGCAGTTGGGCCAATACAATATCACCCACAAAATCCTTGGCCACTGTCATACTTCCTGGACCATCATGGCTACAACATCATTCTAGCATTTCAAGATCTTTCACTATATCATCCCTTTCTAAAATCACTTTAAGCTGCAAAATCACATGGCTGAAAAGAATTAATGCTTTGCAATTTATGAACAGTTAGACTATTTTAATTGGAAAATTAATATACTTAAGCTTGCACCATCCTAGTCAACTGGGAATTGTTGATTAGAGTTAATTTGCAATATGGCCACAGTATTCTGAATCTCTTCAAAGTGTCACAGTGCCAGAGTTCAGACCTGCATGACGGACACCAAAAGATGACAGAAGTTTGGGATGTGAAGAGATGAGCAGGGTCAATTAGAACATCAATATATGCTTTTTTTTCCTCCAAGAATTAATTTTATTCACTTGTGGACTCTTCTTCAGTTGGCAGTTCTGACCCTAATGTGCCTTATCAGATGCTTGATAAATGCTATGACTGCAATAGGTAATTTTTCTGCATAAAGACTGCAGCAGTAGATCCTCACTGTAGTGTTAATCATTGTTGGCCCTTCCCTTAATTTTAACACAGACACTGAGCTAGGTAGTAGATACTGTGTTCTCCAAGTCTAATGGATGCATAGGAAATTGGTGTATGTACTGCACCTTTGTTTGGAAATCGTATACCTTGTCTTAGCAGTATGAACCTGAAAATGGGATATCCCAAATCTAAATGGTGGAATATAAGATGAAATGGGCCCTGGCCTTTTCCCTGTCACTTGGTTAATACAAACAAGAGCAGGGATGTTTTAATCTATATGCTTGTATCATTCTAGGTGAGGAAGTGCATTGTAGAGGTCATTTCAGATACTTTGTCAAAGCCAAGCCCACTGCCAATCAGCCAGGAATGCCTAGAAACTCTCAGAGGAGGTATGGAAAACTGCTTTACCATGGTCTCATGAAACCTGCTTATCAGCTGTAAATAACATACCGCCCAGTTCAGAGCACGTGCCTTGTCAGGACAAAGCACTGCCTGCACTGAAGCTGAAGTTTGAGAGTCATTTGTATGAAATAAAAAAATCTAGTAACTTTTAAGTAAACTGATTTGGGGGGGGGAGGGTGTTACCAGTAAGATCAAATCTAAAAAAAATCAGCTGATTAGCTAAAGGACCAGATAAAAAAAAGCAGGTAAAAAAGCTTGTCTTGCTGTTCAAAATCTTCCATAACAAAGCTTCTCTGTCATAGATAAAAGGATCGTTTCAATCCTTCGACATCAAAATTTACTGAAGGAGCTTCAAGAAATTGCAATTGAAGGTATAGTCTGGCATTAATTAAACTGTGAGGAGTGGTGGCAACAGGTTTTATTATAGCTCTATATGAGTCTTCTGTACTGGTGCCTTTCAACACCTCAAATTAAACCAGGCTTAAAATAATACAAGATGAGCTGAGTTAAAGAGGTTTCTTGCTATCCCATTGTCCCTGTTGTTATTCTCTCATCACATAGACTGTGTTTTCCTTAGGTTTCTAATGCAAAATGTTTTTTGCATCTCAGGGAAGCAGCAGAAGGAAGGAAGTGGGGAAGTATTGGCCATAGGAGGTTCTTCTTTTCTCTCTACTCTGTCCTGGCTGGGAATGAGATAAGTGTGACTAGACAAGACCATACTTCATAGTGCTTGGCCTCTTCATAGTGAGGGAGGAGGACTGGTCCAGAAATGTTGACCCTCTTTTTTTCCTTACTAAGATTTGGAGGTGGGATAAATTGAGACTAGCTATGCCTATTCTGGGAATGCAAAGTGCTAGAGAAGAGCTGGGTGGATGGTTTAATAGCAGAGATACTAAACTGAGACTCAGGAAACTTGCAATCAATTCCTGGCTCTACCACAGATGTCTTGTGTGACCTTGGGCAAGCTGCATTACATCTCAGTTCCCCAGTCAGAAAACCAAGGGTAACACTACTTCCTTTCTCCTAGCGCTTGTCTCGCCTTACCTAGTTAAGTTATATTATTTTGGAGTCAGGGACTAGTTTTGTGTTTGTACATAACTTAGCACAATAGGAACCACTATCTTGACTGAGGTTTAGGGTCTCTGGACACTATCCCTACTTGCTTCTCCTTTTCCAATGAAATGTGAGAGCAATACAGCATACTGTGTGGAAGAATCCCTATTTATCTTCTTTACTGGAGGGTTTGGAGAAAGAGGCCACAGCTTCCCATGAATATACCAAGTGGAGGGGATTGCACATGGGAGAGGGGGCAAGAATGTTGCATTGCAGGAATAGCAAGCACTGAGCAGGAAGAGATGTACAAGTCCTGGTTACCCTTTGAATCATGGAGATAATTAAGGAACTCCTGGAAGGAGAAGTGCACCACTTCAGTGGAACTACTTATGACTAATAAAAATAAGCATATACTTAGCATGCTTTGTTGGATGAGGGCCTTGCATGTCAGTGCATATTCTTCCATCCACCCTGAGTCCCCTCCTGCAGCATTGCTGCTTTCCAGGTGTCCCTCTCGCATTAAATGTCTGTTTGTTTAGGGATTATATCTCTCTGATACACTGGCTTACACATGATGTACTTTACTGAGGCCTTGTGATTCCAGTTGGTTCAAGCTACTCCTAGGTTTGGCCCTGTTAATTTATATTCTCATCCAGATTTTCACTGTCCAAGGTTCATTCTGAAAAAAAAAAAATATTCTGAAATTTTATTCCAATCCCAATCTTTAAAATATAGTAGGGAGCATTGCTCTTTTTTTCCCCTTCCCTCTTTGGTACAGGTGCTAATGAAAGAAACCAGCAGCAGAAGAAAAACAGTGGGTTTGAAGATGAACTTTCAGAAGTCCTTGAAAGCCAGAATGATAACATGCAAAGAGGTTAGTGTCAGCATAACCCACTGTAAATCAGTGTATTACCAGTAATAGGGATGTTCTTTCTAACAGCCTTGATGCATACATATCCTGCATATGTGGGGGCCTTTTTACTGCTGAAATAGCCTAGTGACCTTGGGCTTGCTTTGGAATTGGTCAAAGGCTTAGGAAATAAGTCATTTCTGAGCTAGAGTAAATGGTGAAATTCTAGATGATAGCCAATGCTGAATTTTTTTTTCTCCCCAATCTTGTTGCCAAAAGTATCGCCCATTTTCATATTAGAATGAGTGCCAGATGGTGAAACACTTGATAACATATGAAAAGAATCGTTACTCTGACTAGCTGTATATTTTTTCCAGTTTACATGTTACAATCACCCCCATCATACAACATTAATAGCTGAGTCATACAGCTCTTGAAATAATGTGGGCTTGCATCCTAAAAGTATTTGATTCAGCTGTGGGTTTTCTATTTGGTTGGGTTTTTTTCCTCCCTAGTTCAGTCCTACTAACTAGAGCTGCCTCACAGTTACTTTCTATAGTTCAATGCTTTCCCTCTTCAATAGCAAGGGAAGGTGATGCCAACATCGGAGAAGCCTGCTACAAACAGACTTCCATAGAGAATGGAGTCCAAAGTAAACCACACCACTATTAAATGAATAGAGTGTAGTTCCTACTGTGCTACAGAGCTATTTCTATCAGATGTTTATTATCCCTTGCTGGGCAATGTTCTGAGCTGTTGCCTTTGTCCGCCATGCACCCAGGGTTGCTGACCCTCTGTGACCAATAACCACTCCCATTGATTTGCTTGTTATTAAGGGAGCAAGACTAAAGGAGGCTGAAAACTCACCTTTGGCCAGAAACTGATCCTTCTCCCACTGAAATCTGTGGGAGCAGAAGCCAGGCATTGCCTTTATTGTACAAATTACAGTGCTGGTGGCATAATCACTCTCCCAGCCCCAATGGACACAATTAGAATGAGGAGTCTTAACCCTGATGCTCCTACATCTGGGACTTCAGCCAGTCAGACCATTGCTCCTTTTATGCCAGGGATATTTAGTAGAATGAGGGACATTCATTAGATTTATTCACCTCACAGGTTTTTCTCTGTTTTTTCATTCCATTCTCTCCCTTTCTCTCCTTCCATTTATATGCTGTACTTTGTCCTCTGTTCTATTTTCATATACCTCTTACTTTTTACCGTTCGTTTTTCTCTTGAAATGAGAATATAATTAGTCTTTTATATGAGAGCTCTGAGATCAGTCCAAGGTGAACAGTCATAAATTGGTAGAATCGTGTGGCCAGCTGACCAGATTACAACCCCATGTTACATGTAAATAACACATGGTTGCTATCTGTTTGGGCTGTTCAGAGAGTTACAGCCCTTTGAGTCATGTAGCAGAAAGCATTTTGGCATCTCTAATACTTTTATATATTTAGTCTGATTTCTAGGGGACTGCTAGCTTGTCATTTAAGTCTAGACCGCAGTAAAGATGCTGCTTCATCAGGGCACGAGCATATACATTGACTTGTCCAGTATAGTAAGCTTCAGTGGAAGTACTGACATGCTTCAATGTAAGCAAATCCTTTTCACTTAAATGATTCAATGAATTGAACTTATCCTCAGAAATGTAAAAGTCTCTTCATATGTAAAACAGACAATTAAAGACAGGTTCTATTTTTGCCATATTGACCCCACAGATAAGGGAAAGGAGATCCCTGCAGAGGAAGCTGCAGCCTCCCTTGCTGAGCTAGAGGCAGAAAAAATGCAGCATAATGAGAGGGAGAACTCAAAAGAGGACGAGAAAAACAGCCTGGAAGAGAGAGAGCCAAGGCCACGTGACGTTGACCCTGAAGACGACAAGGAGAATGCAGAGGAATTTGAGAGCAATGAGATTGGTGAGGCAGAAGAATCCCCAAGAGAAGATGCTTTAGACAATCACATTGGTGATGACCTCAGCGAGGATGAGCTGTCTGAGCAGAAGCACCAAGAGGACGAAGATCAGCCCGCAGGGACCAACGAAAGTCTGGAGCTTGAGGAAGCAAGGGGGAGAGTTTCTAAAAAGGACCAGGAGGAAAGTAAAGAGGAAGAAGCTGTAGAAGAACATGCTGAGAAAGATAGTGACAGGAGAGACACCCCCAGAGATGAACACCCAACAGAAACAGAGGGGCTCTTCGGGTCAAATGAGGATGAGGGTGAGGAGATTCAGAGGGGAGACAGTATGTATTTCTGATTGTGCCTGAACCACCTCATTGATTGTTTGTTTGTTTTTGTATTTGAAAGAATTCTAGGACAGATTTACAAAGGCACATAGCAGCCTAAAAATAAAAATAGGTACATACAAAATACACAAATATGTTAGGTATCCAGCTCCCATCAGAAGTTCCATTAGTGGCTGCCTGTCTGTACAGGCACCTAAATATCTTCGTACTTCTGGTCCTCTGACACTTTACTTTGACTGTGACTCTGGCTGGATGCAGTTCTCAAAGAGTTTCTAACTAACTTATTTCTGCTCCTCAGGGTTGCTAAGTGTTTTATGAATGCCACTGACTCCAGTCTCTGCCATCAACACTGCACTGCATCCATATTTTTTTCCTTCAGCACATCAGAATAACTAGCTGTGTTTTCATTTTGACCAGTGATTCTCAACCAGGGTGCTGTGGGGTACCCCACTGTTAGATGCACAAACATAATTCACAACATAAACCCAAAGTTTTCAAATGGGAATTCATGGTATTAAAACATTCTCATCTGTTGTGGTCTTTCTGAGTTCTTTGCAACAGAAAAGTTGCTGTATTTTTTTTCTATAGTCAAAAAATGGGTTTTGAGCTGGCATTTTTCAAGGGATGCCTCAGGCCTAAAGAGGTTGAGAACCACTGATTTAGCTCTTTGTTAGCCAGAAAGTCAAATTTGTTCATCCTGGCCCCTTCTGTAAGTAGTAAATAAGGTATGGTTGAATATGATTTAGCTCTGAACAAAATCTCATTTTCATTGTCATAATGTTCAATAAATATTTCAGATAATGAAGATGCTTTAGGCTTTGGCAAAGGAGGGAGGAGCTCTGAAGAAGAGAAATCCTACCAAATGAAAGGAGGGAGGCATCGTTCTGAGGATGAAGCCATGCAGGCAGAGGACACCTATCACACCAGGGAAGTAAAAAGTGAGGAAATGGAGGAGGAGTCTTCCAAAGAGTGGGGAGACTCGAAGAGATGGAACAAAATGGATGAGCTGGCTAAGCAGCTGACAACCAAGAAGCGCATGGAGGAAAATGACGGTGGTGAAGACCCAGACAGATCCATGAAAATGTCATTTAGGTCCCGCAAGTATGACTTTAATAGTCCTGAAGAAGATGTAAGAAGGTCTTGGAATCACCACTCGAAGGAGGACAGCAGTGAAGGGTTTCCACTTGCCCCTATGCCAGAGGAAAAAAAAGATGAAGAGGGAAGTGCTAACAGAAGAACAGAGGTTGGTGAGAGACCTGTGCATGTATTTGAAAATACCATGTAGATATTAGCAATTATCCAAAGTGCCCTTGGAGGTGTAGGAAGGTGCCTCACTTCTAAAAGTGACAGAGCTACTTCAGTAAGCCCAGTGTTGGGAAGAAACATGCGTTTTACCAGTTTGTGACCTTTCTGCTGTTCAGGGTTGTTAGTTATTAAGTGTATGGAACTGGAACCATACAGGTTTAAAAAACAAAAGCCCGGAGGCAGAGAAATGTATGTACCTGAGCCACATTTACAGAGCCAGATTGCTTAAGCAGACCAAAATTCATATGTAGAAATCAACCTTACAGAAGCATACTTACAATTAGCTTCTGGAGTTGCACATGTTGTTATTTAGGTAAATGTATGTGCCTCTTGGTGGCAACATAGAGAATTCCCCTTTAATATTTGATATAATATTTGCTGTCTTTATGTGCCTCTGGGCCTATGTCCTGGGGGAAAACTGTCACAAACTTCTTTTCATTTGGTGCTAGGCACTAAGTGGAAAGCCAGGGCCAGGACCGATAGAGGCTCAGGCTGGCACAACACAAGGTAAGTTGAGGCACTTGTCAGACAAGGGACTGCTGCCATAAAGGACTGGAGGGAGGGGAAGGGGCTGGACAGAAGAAACTGAAGTTTTTTACCATTATCTTTAACTAGCATGAGTTTTGAAGCTACCCAAGCATAGGTCTCTGGGAATAGTGTGGAGCTGTGGCTATAGGTTCTTCATCTCACATAATGTATTATATCCATATTATATATTTCTATATATTCAGTTAGTTTCCTCCCTTTCTTCCTCTTTCTAGTATGCTGCTACTTATTTCCCCAAGGCTAGAAATAGGCTATTTTTCCCTGCCATATCTTAAAAGACAAAGGGGAGATCGCACAAAGATATTATTCCAGACCTGGCCTTAATGGAGGCAAATCAAAGGAGACACTAAAAACACTTTGATGCACACTCTGGAAGAGCTGGCAAGGCAAATGACTGACTTGGCATTGAACAACCATGTAGTCACTTTGTTCCTCCCTTCCCCCTTAATGAAGGCCTTGCACAGGTCCTCTAAGTTTTATTTCTTCAAAGCCCTACTGAGTTCACCCCTGCAGCTGCAGGGTAGAATGGATGCATGAGCCCCTTACAGTATGACCCATTCATACCAGAATGGATGGAACATGCATTTAAGTCAATAAGGTGAGACCTGTTGTTTGCTACTGCATAAGTCCTGGCCTGCTATTGAGACATCCTGACCGCCTACTGAACGGCAAGCCAATCAGAACAACTGGGACTGCAAGGAGGAGCAACTTCTGCAGTCAAACTGATCAGGGTTGCAATGGCTATAGCTAAGGGGGAGGTGACACCTGCACCTTTGCCAAAGAACTTAATTTGCTTTTTGGGGGGAAGAAGTGCTCTTGTAAGTTTTCAGTCAGCATCTAAGATGTTGGGGTCCTGAGTATCCACTGCAGTTAACTGATTGTATATCTCATCATGGAGCCCCAAGGGAAAGGGTGGAAAGTTAGGGGAGACAGTCCACAGTAAAAGCATGTGAGCACAAGAAATCTCCCCACCAAAGATACAGGTAGAGCCCTGTAGGAGAGAACCCCCTTTACTATACTTTTCATCCTTCCTATTCCTCTGCTTCCACCTAGAATAGGAGAACAAAGCAAGCCCAGGGTCTGTTTGTGAAATCAGGCCAGGTCTTATATTATGCTGCCTCCAGCACTGGTCTGGTACCTGATGCTTTAGCAGATGGCCTTCCTCCATTCTGTTTCATGCTTCCAGGCCACATTTTCCTGTTACTTTCAGAGTGTGTTATAAAATAACTAGATGTTCAACTGTTAACTGAACTCTAAGAGTATAGCCACACTAACTGGTGTTACAGATACAATTTATTTGAACACTGTGCAGAAAGGACTGAAATGTGTTGGGCAGAGGGAAACCACCAAAACAGAAATTACTCTTCCATCTCTCTGTGGGTATTTAGGATTCTGGCAATGATGTTCCACGCTATCCTCCTGACATTCAGAAATACTGAAATACCTACCTCTCAGCATGCTTGGACTCCCTGCAGTTGCAGGGAGATTATGGGAATGACTATTACTTTAGAATCACTCTTAGAAGCAACTAAAACTCCTTAATGCCAATTACTCTCATTGTTCTGGGACTGGCAGCTTAGTTTTCATCTTGAAAGTCAGCTAGTTCAGTATGCTGTCTTTTAGCACTGAAATCACCATGTTTACAAAGAGCTGACTATGTTATAAATAGACCATCTTTCTCTCTCTCTGGGGAGGCAACCAGGTACCTTAACAACTTTCCTCTAAGTAGCAGCTGATGAAAGAGGAGAAGTCAATACCTTTAATGCTGCAAAAAGGGAACTTGCAGGAGGTTCCATATCCAAATGAAGTAGGTGGCAATAATAGGCTAGAGGATTAAATTTGCCTATAGCAGGGCAAGTCCACATGTGCAAATGCACTCAGGAGAGGATACTGACTTTCTTCACTTACATGATGGCACCTCTTAGCTCCTTCCATCAAAATGCTTTACAAAGAGCCTGAGCATGTAAGCATGGGTGCAAAGGATGTCAGCAGCCCAAGGTCCCATCTCCCTCATGGAAAGTGTTATGCATTTCTTCCTATGTCCATTAATTCAGGACCCCCAGCAAAAATAAAAGCTGATGCCTATGCAGGTAAGTATTATTCCCACTTTACAACTGAGGAAACTGGAGCGCAGAGAGCGTGAGCAAACCATCTGTCAAGGAATTTTGGGACACACTTGGAAATAGAAGCTTCCCAGCACCAAGCCTTAGTCACAAAACCAGTCTCTCCCCCCCCACACAAAACAGGATGTGCTGCTTCGAGTGGTGTTAGCCATTGGCGGAATCACGAGCACTATCCTGGAGGAGAGTAGAAATTGCGTGGGATAGGATAATACTCAACACTCTGTACCTGCTGAGTAGTCTTTCGGAAGAGAAGCCATGGAGTCTCTCAAGTTAAATCCCTTGTGCTATGGTGGGGGGTGCTAAGTCCTGTGGATATTCTTTGGTTGCCTTAAACAGTGGTTTTAGTAGACTCTGGAGGGAGGTCCGTCCAGTACTTCTTGGAAGGGTCAGGGCCTGTGAAAAACCAGGGCCTTTAAGGATTTTGAGGACCCATCTTATTTTCCTCCCCCCTAAGAAGATCCAACTGTACAGCTCTTCATTCATTAAACTTCAGTGACATCTGACTACCTCATCTTAACGTGTGTCCTGCTATTAGATTGTACTGCAGAAATGCTTCTCTTGACTTTTTTTTTTTTTGCTATTCATTATTTAACTAAGGACAAGGATTAGGAATAGGGATGTGTATGGGGTGGTGGGGGGAAGGTGTTCAGGAGAGCAGATTTCAGAGCATCTTTGCTCTGGGGACAAGTCCTTCAGAAACAGAAACTCACCCTGATTGGTTTACCAAGTCCTGGACTGCAGCAGTGCCCTTCCTGGTGCACTAGGGATTTGAATGGCAGTTTTCCCCCATAAATCACCTGTGCAACAAGGCAAGATCAAACTTGGTATTTGCATGCTGTTGAAAGCAGAAGGTTGAATGTTTCTAGCACAGGTTGGATGTGTTGCTGCCCTCTTCTGTAGCAGTGAGGCAGGTCAAAGGCCACTTCAACAGTACCGGAGCACTGGCCTTTGTGGGCTGCAGTTAGGCTTGGGCAAATTCTCATCAGGACTGATAGGCATTTTCCAGTGTAGAGACCAGGTCCACTAGCATGGCTGAGCCTTCTGGGTTTTACTTTTTATTTCTACCCTGCCCTCCCCTCCTCCAGAAAATGCATGCGTCTTAGCCTGCAGACATGGCTCACTCTGGCAGTGGCCTTTAGCCAGTACAAATCTTTGCTATTTATTAGTAGCCCCAAGGGAACATTTAGCTGGTAGGAAGTTGTGCTGTTAGTGCCAGAGGTCCGCATCTCTATGTGCATGCCTATGGTCAATGGCACATGGCCCAGGTTAGTCTGCTAAATGAACCCATGTTATTTTGTAGCAAGACATGGGGTTTGAGAGCAGACTAATTTAGACAAATACTGTGCCTTAAGGAGACAACCTATACCAAAATAGCCTCAGAAAAGGGCCACAGCAAAAAGCACCCAAAGTGTGTTTTGGGAAGGGTTGCTCATTACTAAATTTCCCCATTACCTTTTTATACTTTTTTTTTTTTTTTTGTTTAAAGAGGAGCAGTCTAAATGCACAGCTAGGCTCTGTGTGTTTATACAGCAGCATGTGTGGAGCTGGACTGCTGGCTCAAGGCACCATTTATGCCCAAGCAGGCACCAGGAACCCTTTGTTCTGTACAGGTGTAATGCAGTCCCTATACAGCACGTGAAGTACCTCCTAGTAGGTCAGTGAGCTGCCAGGTTTATTTTGAATATTTGTAAACCTACATCCCCATAACCAGCAAGCATCATATTCACAGCAAATCCAGAGAAAAGGAATCATTAAGAGGATATCAGCAATTGTAAGTTGCTTTGCTGGCTTTTCTCATCTCTCTTCTATAAGCTTGGGAAAACAAACCCACAGACAGATTAACTGATGTGAGCAATGCTGCTTACCCTCAGCGTAACAGGAAGTTTAATTTCCATATGTGCTGTGTTAGGATAAAGTGATGGCAAGCAGTGTAAATGAAGCAGATTCTCTCTCCTGTACCAAACTGCCCAGAGATTCACATGATCTTGACTTCAAGTATAGCTCTCTGCCACTGTCTTACTGCATGGTCTTGTGCAAGTCACTTCACATGGCTACTCATCTCAGGCATCTGCTCCCTGAGGATGTGGGGGAGGGTTTTACTTACCTAAGTCACCAGGCTGTTGTAAAGACTGATTCATGGGTAGCATCTACTTGGCACGTAAAGCAGTAAAAGAGTGTTCTGAATCATCTTCCCTAGATTATTCTACACATGTTTCTAAGATGGTGTTTGGTGTACAAACTGAGAAATACTGTCCTTGTCTGTGAATATTAAAACTATCAGGATTCTTTACATCTTTTCTGAACAACCCAGCTTTAATTTTAAGGAGATTAAATTCTCCAAGCAGGAGCTCCTGATCTCTTCTGCACTTGGCTGGATGTCTCAGATCTCCTACATCAATGCATTATGAATTTCTTTATTCCTTAGATCTTGGAAAGCAGCAGAGAGCTGCCATGCCACTACTGTATGTGTTAGGAGTGTGTGACACAGCTGATGGTTAAATCAAGAACACTTTACATTTAGAATAAAAAGGGAACAGTTGGCTGATTTCAAATCTAGGGCATGTGTCTGCAGCCCCGCCCAGCAAGAAGGGCTCACAGAGAAGGCAGCTAAAGCTCTCAGTGGTTTCAAAGCAGTAAATGTCAACCTGCTTCAGAAAGTTACTTATTTTATTCTAGAGTAAAACCCTTCTAACCAAGATCCAAGCCCTGGCATGCTGGTATTGTACCAATGTATTGTGCAAGGCAGTGTCTGCCATGCTGAGTTTGTAGTCTAAAGAAAGGGCTAGAGGGGAAAACAAGCAAAGAGGTGATATGACAAGCCACTGGTCTGATGTGTGATCTGGAACAAGACAGGGAAAGGGAATCTCAGTTCTGACCATCATGCTTTTATTTCAGCCACTGAAAACCACATTGCCTCTGGGTTGCCTACAAAGCAGATCGAAATTCAAACAACTAAGCCCCCTCCTATCTTTAATTAGGCAATGGGGGAAGGGAAAAAAAAGTTAAGGGCTGGCTTGCCTGTGGGATCATTCTGATTTATTGGCTTGTTACTTTAGGATCAAGAGTTGGAGAGCCTGGCAGCAATAGAAGCTGAACTGGAGAAAGTGGCTCACAAGCTTCATGAGCTAAGAAGAGGCTGAAGTTTTCCCAACTTGTAACATCAGTAGAAGCCAGAAATTGACTCC